ATATATATGGGACACTATTTCTCTTGGATTCAAGCCTGGTATTACATCGCACAGGAATAGTTTTCCAGAAAACTATTATAATTTCCATCATAATTATTAAATATTATTTTTTGGTAATATATATCAATTTTGTGGAGAAAATATTTCATTATTGTTTAAATTTATATTTTAATTGTATTTCTCTTGTTACTAGAAAATTAGAATATCTTATGTGGGGTTTTTTCTGTTAATTATATGGTCATGTCCTTGGGGCATTGATAATACTGGGAATGATTATTCTTATTTAGATAACTTTAAATACTACCTGCAAAACAGGACTATGAAGGTCTAAATGAATTTTCACATTTTCAGAACTTTAGTTCTAAGGTCATGCCAATACTGAGCATTTTAAAATCATATAAAACACTTTATCAAGGCACACAAGTTGTCATAGGAATGTTAGACATTGGGTTATATAGTAAGGAAAGATGAGCTTGCTCTGACCTTAGTGAAAATGCAGATTTATTTTCCATACTTTCGTTTTTATATCTCAAGGCTGTGGAGCATTCACAGAAACCTCTGAGCTAATAAAAGGTAGTTAAAATCTAAGCCAGTTTGAAGGAGAAAGAAGAAAATTCTGATAAATGCAGATGTTTAATCTCATAGCATGATGTTTTGGTTTCATTAATTATTAAAGAGCAGAATAAATTGGTCAGTACATTTGTAATAGTATTATGTGCAGTAATACTTTAAAAAGTACTTAAGGCAACACATAGTTAACTAATTTGTCATATATACTGAATAAATCATAATTTCACCCCTCAAATTGATAAAATAGAATAAATTGATATATAAAAGAAAAAGCATAGTATTTCAAATAATTTGATATGCAGGAGGAAAGTACAGCTTTTCTTAAAGAATTTTCTTAGCCATTTCATTTTGTCACCCCAAAGTAATTGTATTTTACAGCTATAACATCACACTAGTGGAGAGATGCTGCAGTGAGTCGTTGAAATCCTTTGGAGGTACAGAGTGTTATGTAGTAGTGACAGTTGATGAACACACTGCCATAATTTTGCAGGTAAAACTACAAAGTTAAAAAAAATTTAAATAAATATATATTTATATATAACCATGTAATTTATTATTAGCTTTACTATAGAGAGTTTAACCATAATCTATTAGCAATTTCTTTCAGAACTTTGCAGGTGGGCCACAAATGCCTAAATCATCACTGCGGAAAATGTCTATTATCAAGCTTTTTTATGCTTATAACTTTTAACATACTTTAAGACAAAGCAAATATGGAATCTTTAATATTGTATATTGACCTATTTTCATTACATTTATAGAATAATTATAGTGTTGAAAACTTAAAAAATTAAATCCTAGCCGCTGTTTCTTAAAATGGGGTAGTATATTAATCCATGATTGGTAATATGGGATTTCCTGAAGGTAAGTAAGGATTGCCAGTAAATAAGCTGGTTTTTAAGGAGAGAGAAAGTCTCCGCAAAAATCCATATAGTTTAGAATTTAAGATGTAGAAATTCTTGACTGAATCTCCCTGATGTTTGCTTGACTGGAGTACAAATTACAAAGAAATTATTTTAATAGGGTGGAGTGGTAAGCAGAAACCAGTTTGATGGAATGGAGTAGAAATTAATGAATAATATTATGAGCAAATGTTAACAATATAAAAATTATATTATGGAAACACAAAGCTCTGTTAGAGGGATTCTTAAGAGATAGTGTGTCTTGCATGTTTAAAGTTCTTAAAAAAGCAATTATTTAGGGGGCAGTATTGTTTAGGAAAGCTGTTTAATCTATAGTTACATAAGTTACTGTTAGAGTAAGCCACTTCCTGAATTATTCACTCTATGAAAAACTGTGTTAAAGGAAAGAGTCCAGACCATGACAGAGACTCCTAGCAGTGCATTAATGGCTGCTTCCTCACCTTCCTTAAGTAAGCATTTGGAGCAAATGATCTGTTTATACATGTTTTCTATTGCCTTTAGGAGTAACCGGATCCATGTTTACAAAGGACTTGAGCCAAATGGGGGCACTCTGTAGGCTGCTCTCCTCATATCTAGGACTTTAGGAGATTTGTGAGCCTTTCTTGCTAAAACTCCCACTAGTTGTTTTACATCTACTGAAGCTTTTTCCCTACTACTTTCAGTGTGATTTTCATTTTTTTTTTCTTCATAAAATAGAAGCCCACACCCATGCTTCTTCTCAAATTATAATTTACATATTATAGATTCTTGAAATATGGTAGCAATAATTTCATAACAAGTATTAACTAGTGAATCTTTTTATTTTGTTTATTTTCTGGTAGGACCTAGAAGAATTGAACTGTGACAAGGCATCAGACAACATCATCATGAGGCTGATGGCATTATCATTCCAGTACAACTATTGTTGGATAATTTTATATGCCAAAAAAACATTAGACTCAGAGTAAGCAAACATTTCATCTAAAGTCACATGCCTATTTTAAGTTATTCAGTCCTCCTCTGTGAATAGAAGTAGCGATGCCAATTTTCCACTTGCTCATCTAGTTTGCTTTAAGTCAGGGATTCTCAAGGTGGAGGCATGCCCATAGGAAAACAAACCCAGATTTTGGAGATGTGTTTCCCCTGGACATGCTGTGCAAATCACCCTCCCCCTCCTCAACCTCCCTAGGCATTGCTGCTTTAAGTGTTTCACTTCCTATTACTTTTTAATTCTGGACTTGTCTGTTAAAAGATAAGTCATTCTTTTTCTTTCTTTTTTTAAAATATATCTTTATTGATTTCAGGGAGAGAGAGAAACATCAATGGTGAGAGAGTCGTCACTGATCTGCTGCCTCCTGGACGCCCCCCACTGGGAATCGAGCCCGCTACCCGGGCATGTGCCCTGACCGGGAATCAAACCCCGATCTCCTGGATCTTAGGTTGACAATCAACCACTGAGCCACACCTGGCTGGGCAAGATAAGTCATTCTTAAATCACTTCTCTCTAAAACCTTATTAAATACTCCAACTAATGATCATCTTGCTATACTTTCTTTCATTAATGCACATTACTGAAGAGTTACAAAAAAATCCCTGCCAAGACACTGACCAGTAAAGGGATGAGTTAAATTTCTCCCCTTTTGTCCCCCCACCCCAGCCAGCATCCCCTAGATTTAACAGTATTATTAAAAAATGGAGGTGGAAATGTGTTTTTTTCCCAAAAAAGTGCTGCGTAGACCAAAAACCATGAGTCTGCCACACTAACATTGTCTTAGCCAGGTTATTCTAACAAATTATGAAACGTGGGAAACATAATGAATTTTTAATAAGTATAATCAGATGTCAAATGAATGGAAGTATAGTAATGTAATCCGTTTTAGGTACTATCTTACAGAAAAGACGCTTCATCACCTAGCACTGATTTATGCAGCTTTAGTTTCATTTGGGCTGAAATCGGAAGAACTGGATGTAAAGGTATTCTTTTCCTCTATGTTCGTAAGTATTTTCCATAAACCAAAATTATACCCAATGCCCAATAAGGAAAACATTACATGGGTAAACCAAAACTGCTTAAAAACCAAATAAAGAACAGTTTTCAAATTAATGAATATTCTTTCCACCTAAACTTGTGTTCTAAAAGCCTTTAGTTTAATTAATTTAAAATCGTATTTTAGCTCTTAACTACTACTTAGATGTTTTTGAAACATAGCAGGATATGAATAAAAATAAATATATCCCTTGATCAAAAATACTCACTTATAAAAGATTTACTAAGTTCTTATCTGCTGTAAAATGAAAATCTTAGGACATAATATTTTGGTAACCTCTAAATTAGTAGCCTTTCTTAGCTCTTTTTTCAATGTCACTGCTCTGAAATTTAGACATTCCCTCCAAATCTGGGGCTTAGTACTCTTCTATTATCAAATATTCTCAAAACATCCAAAACTTAGCAATAAAATAAATTTGGATTCAAACGGTGTACTTCTGTGAACTCTATACATATTTAATATAATTTTTTAAAATCCTTCTTTAGAATACTCATATTCCCCAGCTATGCACCAACAGTCTTATATTTGAAATTCTTGTGAAAGGAAACACTGTCATAATTATTTTGTGAGATTTGTACAGTTCTTGCTTTTTAAATTTCTACTACAGTATAGGATGTTTATATCTCTAAGACATGATTGTTTAGGGTAGTATTTCTCTGTCCACATTAGACTGCTAACTCATGAACTATCTTTCCTTCAACCGCACCTAAAAGAAGATGACAAAGATAGAAATGAACAAGGAAGAGAAAGGCCGGCATTTCAGAAGAGAGAAGGGCAGGGAGAGAAACACAGGTGGCCAACAGGAGGCGGGGGAAATGAGAAAGTCCTTTTTAGAGTTTAGTTTAGTTTACTACACACACACACACACACACTTTTGGCAGCGTTATCTTCGTATTAAATAAGCTAAGACTGGATGAGAAAAATCCCAGAATGCTGGGGGTGGCTACTTTAAATCAAAACCTTGTTTTTTTCTTTTTTAATAGAGCTTCAAATTCACCTGCAAATATCCTTTATCCGTTATCCTAACGTTTTTAAAAAATCTTACACTATATTTAAAGTTCTTATTTTGGTTGAGAACTATTAGGTTAACCTAGAAAAAGCAAAATACTAAACATTACTAGTGATATCCAAATTGCTTTTATTTCTAATATAGATGAAATATAACACCAAGTATATTTAAAATATTTTATTAATAAATGTCAATGGAGGTAAGAAAAACAATTTAGTTCCAAAAATTGGAAACTACAAGGATATCATTCTTAGAGAAGGAAAAAAAATTGCTTATCCTCACAAATAAAACGCCCTGGATTTCACAGGGCCAAGTTACTAAATTCTATCTAAGATAGTGCTCAAAGACTACAACTTGCTGCTTTTTACTTTTCTTCTAATTATAAACAATTTTTGAATGATATATTTTGCTTCCTAATATTTTCTATAGTCTAACATTAAAATATATTTTTTAGCTTATAATTGCTCCAGGAGTGGAAGAGACTGCATTGATAATTCGACAAATTGCTGACCACAATTTAATGACCTCCAAGAGAGATCCTCATCAATGGTTGGATAAATCTTGGCTTGAAGTTTCACCATCTCAGGTTTATTTCTAAATAAATGTTAGATATTTGCAAAGCAAATATAAATACATGTATCTGAATTCTTTCTGGTAGCATATTTTTGCCCTAAAATGCTTTATGAGCAGTAGGACAATAAGCATAATGTACAACATTTACTTAGATCATTTTCCAGAATCGTTTGTATTTGTTAACTATACAGAACTATTTTAATGGGACCTTTTATAATGAACTTTCAAATCTGAGTTATTACAGGGTGATCTAATGACTTCAATGCCTAATATTTTTTAAAAAAACACAAAACTTTTTCTAATTCCTAAATCTAAACATTTAAGAATAGTAAATTTATTAAGAGAATCACAAAATTTTATCATTTCATGATTTGTTGTTACTTCAATTATGTTATTGAAACTGAAAGTAGAATTGTGAAATACTTATAATATTAAATAGTTAATTTTTAGAAATTCCTTTTGTTTGAGCATAAGTTTTTACAAGATCTCATACCAATTCAGGGTTTGTTACCTTTATTTTTAAAACATTCAAATCATGAAGCTATAAAAAAAAAATGACAAGGCTCTTTATGCACTAATATGGAATACTCTCTAAGATAGATTGTTAAGTAAAAAATCAAAGTTGCAGGACAGAGCATGCAGTATACTACCATTTGTGAAAACAAGGGGAAATTAATATTTATATGTATTTATTTATAAATTAATAAAATATCTCTGGAAGAATACGAAGAAATGATAACATTGGTTATCTACAGAGAGGAGAACTGGGGTAATGGGGGGGGAATGACACTTTTCACCTTTCAGTACCTTTAAAATTTTGACCCATGTGACTTTTGCTTATTCAAAACCTAAAGTTATAAAACAAATAAAATAAAATATTCATATGTATTAAATCACAGAACTTTTACATGCTTAAACAGAACACAATACTACCAGCAAGTATGGGTATTATTAACTATGATGTGTGTATGTGTGCAGTTTTGTTCCTACCAAGGTATGTCCATTTGATAAAAATCAAAGAGGGTACAAAAAAACCAGTGCAATCCAGGAAAAAAGGGAATCTAGAGATGGCTGCTGTAATTCTAGCCTTTTATGAGATCTCCCTGAAAACATACATTTTTAGACTGTCAAGGTCAGTTCTGGCTGATAGTTCTTCCTGTATACTCTTTACAACAAAGCTTTCGTGAAATTATAACATCTCTTAAGTATCATAAACATGGTTCATCTTAATCAAACAGTGATAGTATAGGGTCTACAAAGGAGAGCTAAAGACATCTTGAGGTCCTAGACTAAGTCCCCTAAAAGATTTCTCTGTAGAAAACATAGCATTAGTTAAAACAATTGTCATGTGAAGATGATGAATTGTAACATCTTTTTGGATGTGTGGTTAGACTGAATAAACTTCAGATCCTTCCCAGTTCTGAGAGTGTATGAATCTTTACTGCCAAAGAAGTTTCTTTCGCTCCTGGCCATACTGTTTTCCAGACATCTCAAACTGAGTGTAGGTGCAATGATAAAAGTTTAAATCTGATAAAATGAGTAGAATAAAATTGGCCACTTTTAAAAGACCACTGGCTGATTATTCCTTAAACTCTTTTCTAGGAAGAAATGTACTTACTTGATTTTCCATGTATTAACCCATTGGTGGCTCAGCTCATGTTAAATAAAGGACCTTCGATACACTGGATACTATTAGCAACTCTTTGTCAACTTCAGGAACTCCTACCTGAAGTTCCAGAAAAAGTGTTGAAGGTTAGTTATTTGAGGTCTATATTCTTATATAGGTTTATTTCCTTTTCACTTGAGTATTTATTTTTCTCATAAGGGTTTCAAAATGAAGGTATCCAAGTATAATTGTTTTGGACTTCACATGGCAAAGAAATACTTGAACTAAATTTTATATAGAATTCCCATTGGCTGTCAATCACATTATACATTTTAAAGTTATCTTATATAAGTAATTCAGTACAGTCAGTTTATCATACTTTAAATAATTTTGAAATGTTATTGTGTCCCCAGATATTCAGTTATACACTCTTCATATTGGTTTACATTATCTCTTCCAAACAATCCTGACACCCTTCATTACAGTAGTAAAGAGAACTTTAGCTTTACAGATAAAATTTTTATCAAGGAAATGTTACTCATGTATAACTTGTTAACTAAAAATCATAACTGATTAGAAAATAGATGCAAATTACAATAAGTTTTTCTTTTAATGGAGGTTAATCATGTTATTACATGGGTCAATATAATACCTATGAATGAATTACTTTATATTTAGCCTCCTTTTCATATAGATAAACAAAATTATTTATATTTACTTGACTGATGTTCATATTGTATTTGTATTGTATTAATTAATTTAAATATTTTTAGCATTTTTGTGACATCACTTCCTTATTCAAGATTAGTTCTTCTTCCACTACAAAATCACCTGAAACTTCATCACCCCAGGAAAGTAGGAATCAGACCAGTACTTTCCCTTCTCAGAGTCCAGCTTCTGACTCTTCAGACTCTGTCATTCAAGAACATAATGAATATTACCAGCATTCAGACTTAGGAGAGATGGTGCAGGAAGCCACAAACAGCACCTCAAATAACTCTCCCCTTTTGGAACTAAGAGAAAGAGAAATGCCCTGTGTTTCACCACCTGTGACTTCTTACAGTCAGACCAGCTATTGGAAAGACTCCAGTTGTAACCCTAACATAGTGCAGAATAATCCTTTTCTGATTAATATGGAGTCAAGGAACTCCACTGGCTACTCCTTTCTAAACCAGAATGATTCACAGACAGATGTCTTTTCTTTGGGTCTAACACAAATGAATTGTGAAACCAGAATATCACCGATCAACACTCAGAAGAGAATTGCCCTGAATTTTATAAATTATCAGAAAAAGGGAACACATGAAGCAAAAAGACCTGTAAGTGAAGAAGTATCTGCCCCTATCTTTTCATTAGGAGGCTCTCAATCACCTCGGCATTGGAACGTTAAGAAAAATGTGTGGGAGCGACAGAATCACTCATTCAACTTACAGTATGGTGCAGAGCAGACTACATGTGACAGATGGTACTCTCAGAAAGAAAACTTGTTCACTAATCAACAAAAATGTCTATCAGATGAGTCAGAAGGCCTCCTATGCAAAAGTTCAAATGGTAGGACTAGCAAGACTTTCTGGAAAGAATTACCATCTGTTCCCAGTTTGGATTTATTTTGTGCTTCTGACTCTAATGTAAATCAAAAAGAATTCAACAGTCTTTATTTCTACCAAAGAGGCAGAACATGTTTAGGACAGAAAAGGCACACTGAATCTTCATCTAACCCAGGAGACAAGAAATCATTAACAGGTAACTATTCAATAGCTGATAAACTATTCTCAAATGTAATTTAAAATCATGTAACCATCTCCAAATTTAAAAAAATTGTTTTAATTACACTTAAAAGAATGTTCAATAACTTTTGGTTCAAAGAGAAAATCAAAATTCTAAGTATAGATATCTAAGAAAATAAATACAAAGAAAATGTGTCACATTTTTGTAGCTTTAGATGAACCAAGCATTCAACTTCAGAAGTGAAAAACACAAAACAAATTTAAATAAGGCAGGAGACTGAAATCAACAAAGATTAAACAGAGAAATCAGTGAATTAGAAAATTAACTTATTTGTCAGGCAGGGCTATGTCTTGGGCTAAAGTTTATTCAGAGCTTATTGTATGCCAGGTGCCAATCTAGGTCCCTTATGCCGGTTATTTAATCATGACAATCTATTAAATAGATACTCACTATTAGCTCTATTGTGCAGTTGATGTTTCTGAACATTGATATCAATTTTTTAAAAGGACAATTTTATTTTCTCATATCTGGCAATTGTACCTCTCCTTTCTTCGTCATTTCTTATTGCATTGACCTGAAGATCTAGAACAAAATATTAAGTTGTAATGGTCATACAAGGTGACCTTGCCATGATAGGGGCTGGGGCAAAGAAAGGGAGAAAGCTTAAGCTTCAGAGCTCCTCTTTGGCATAGGCCCTTCGGTGAGGCCTGAGAGGGGCCCTAAAAATCTTATACTTTTTGTTTTATTAAAAGAGGACCTCCCAAATTGTATAAGCCCCAGTACTCACAAAATTTGGATTTGGTCCCCTTTAATAGTCAAAATTTCTTTTGTTCCTGATTTTTAAAAAAAAATCTTTATTATTGAGAGTATTACAGGTATCTCATTTTCCCCTCCAATTGAACCCCTCTACTTCACTACCACCCTCTCCCCAGGCCTTCACCCCATTTTTTACTGTGTCCATGCATTATACATATATGCATATAACTTCTTTGGTTAATCTCTTCCCACCCTCCACCCCCCTCCCTCTTCCCTCTGAAATAGGATCACCTGTTGCATGCATCAATGTCTCTGGATCTATTTAGTTCACCAGATTCTTTTGTTCATTAGCTTCTTCTTAAAGAAGACCCTTCAACTTTTCCTGTAGTGCTGCTCTGGTGGTGATGAACGCCTTTAGCTTTTCCTTGTCTGAGAAGCTCTTTATCTGACCTTCAGTTCTAAATGACAGCTTTGCTGGGTAGAGCAATCTTGGTTGTAGTTCCATGTTTTTCATCACTTTGAATATTTCTTGCCACTCCCTTCTGGCCTGCAAAGTTTCTATTGAGAAATCAGCTGACAGTCATGTATGTGCTCCCTTGTAGGTAACTAACTGCTTTCCTCTTGCTGCTTTTAAGATTCTCTCTTTGTCTTTAACCTTGGGCAATTTAATTATGATGTGTCTTTCTGTGGGCCTCTTTGGGTTCCTCTTGTTTGGGATCCTGTGTGCTTCCTGGACTTGTAAGTCTATTTCTTTCCCCAGGTAGGGGAAGTTTTCTGTAATTATTTTTTCAAATAGGTTTCCAATTTCTTGGTCTCTTTCTTCCCCTTCTGGCACCCCAATAATACAAATTTTGGGTCTCTTGAAGTCCCAGAGGCTCCTTATAATATCTTCATATTTCTGGATTTTTTCTTTTTGCTCTTCTTTTCCTCATGTTCCAAATTGCTGATTTGATTCTCAGCGTCCTCTATGCTACTGTTATTCCCTGTAAATTATTCTTCATTTCAGTTTCTGTAGCCTTCATTTCAAATTGGTACTTTATTATGTTACCGATTTTCTCAGTTATTTCCCTAATAGTATGCTTAAACATGCTTATAAACAAAATTCTGAACTCTGTATCTGTTAGCTTGCTTGGATCTGTTTCATTTATTCCTCTTCTAGAGATTTCTTCTGTTCTTTCCTTTGTGACATGTTTCTTTGCCTCCACATTTTGGCTGCTTCCAGGTGTTTGTTTCTATGTATTAGGTAGAGCTGCTATGTCTCCTGGAATTTGTAGAGTGGCTTTGTGTAGTAGGTGTCCTGTAGGGTCCAGTGGCTCAGCCTCCCCAGTCACCTGAGCTGGGCCTTCTAGGTGCTCCCCTGTGTGGGCTGTGTGCACTGTCCTGTTGTAGTTGAGCCTTGGTTGCTGTTGGCGTCACTGGGAGGAATTGACCCCCAGGCCAATCAGCTGTGAGGACCAGCTGCAACTACAGCCAAAGAGCTGCTGTGCTGGAGACACCCCTATGGAGCAGGATTTACTTCAGTGGAGCTTTGGTGTTCACCAAGTGCGCCCCTTGAGTGTCACTCGTGGATGTGGTAGGGTTGTAATCCAGTGTGGTCAGTCTGACCACCAGGTGCACTGTCTCTGGGGCCTCCCTGGAGGTGCAAAGTCAGCCTCTGCCAGTACCTTGCCCAGGGCTACCCAGCATGAGCTACACAGCAAACTGTAGTTGGCTGCTACTTGTGCTGGGCTTGGCGTTGTCCAGGAGGCTAAGCTATGAGCCAATACAGCTGCCACCAGTGCCAGGCCTAGGGCCACTTATCAAGCCATATGGGGCCCGCTGCTGCTTGTTTGAGAGATTTTAGGAAAGTCCTAAGCACGAGGCTCGAGAGGCCACTTGCACAGAAAAGCCCCTGGAAATGGCCTGGATGAGCTGCAGGTGGGGAGGGGCGGGGCCAAAGGTGTGAGTCAGGTGTTGGCGATTCAAATATGGCGCCTGCCTGCCTGCCCGCCCGCTGGCTGTGCGCAGGGAGGACTCACCAAAGGAGCTATGGCCTCCGCCAGCCCTTCTGCCTGGGAGGAAGCCGCCCCTCCACCTCTCGCCCGGATCTCAGGCAGGTTAGTTCCTCCCCGAGTGTCCCGGGTCCTTTCAGGCTGCTGCCCGGCGCTGGGCTCAGAGGGAGCGTCCGAGTGAGTCCGTGTGTGGGCCTTTTAAGAGGAGCTGCTGGGGCTCCCGCAGCCTCTGTGACCCTCAGCCACAGTCCCCGCTGGTTTCACAGCCCAGAGTTGTGGGAACGTCTCTTCCCGGCCCTGCCCTGGGCTGAGGGCCTGCTGTGGGGCTGGGACCCCTCCCTCCTCCGGGAAACCTCCGCCGCCGAGATTCCCTCCCGGATTTAAACCGCGGCACCGGGTGTGGGCCCGAGGCCAAGTTCTCCGCCCCTCCTACTGGTTTCGATGCTTCTTCAGTTCCTGGTTGTGGGGCTTCTGTTCAGCCAGATTTTAGGAGGTTCTGAGTGATGGTGGTTCTGTATTTTAGTTGTAATTTTGATGTGGTTTCGGGAGGCAGCGGATGCAGTTGTTACCTACGCCGCCATCTTGTTTTTCTCAACCTTGTTCCTGATTTTAATAAGCAGTAGTATTCTATCCCTAGTTTTGTAAGTACTGTGAGGGATACTGAATTCTATCCAAACCCTCTTGGCACCTATTGGGGGAAAATCAAACCTGTTTTCTGTATTGACCTATTGATGCCAAGGATTGCAAGTTTAATAATATTAAGTCATTTTTGCCATTTCTGTAATAAACCTAATTGGTTTTTGAGGAGTGATTTTTTAAATATGCTGTTGAACATAGTTGCTAATATTTATGATTTTCATATCTACATTCATAATGAAATGAATCTATGGTGTTATTTGTGCTCTGTTGCATTTTGACATGAAGGTAGGTAGTTCCAGCTTCATAAATGACCTGGCTGAAAATTCCATCTTTTTTCCACCCTGGAACAAATTAAATATGTAAACTGCTATTTATTCTTGAACATAGGGCCCCTAGTATAGGATAATCCTCCCATTTTCTCAATGAGATTTCAGAAAATATTTTTAAATAATTTAAAATATATGTATATCTTTATTGATTTCAGAGAGAGGAAGGGAGAGGAAGAGAGATAGAAACATCAATGATGAGAGAGTTGTCATTGATCGGCTGCCTCCTGCATGCCCTCTACTGGGGATCAAGCCCACAACCTGGGCATGTGCCCTGACCGGGAATCGAACCATGATCTCCTGGATCCTAGGTCGATGCTCAACTGCTGAGCCATGCCCAGCCGGGCTAATAAATTTTCATATTTAAGCTTTTAGGGATATAGATGGAATAGTAAAATATCTACCCACATTTTATTTCATTTATTTACAAATATATATTTTTTAATTATATATAAGTACTTCCCAATTATTTCCATAAAATAATTTCATTCAAACAGTTCACATCTTTGATGATAGTATCTTCATTATCACTGTGGCAACTTTTATCTTTTTACTATGGCTTTCCATAGCACATCGTTACCTCCAAATATGTTGTTTAAGATATAACACGTTTTGAATTCATGTTGATGCAGCTCTAGAAAATTATCCAAAGCCCTTGGCATAATATCAAGATAATTTCCATTTGTCCTATAGATGTACATTTATGATATCTATGATAAAATTTACTACATTATTTTTAAAATTTGCTTATAATGGCATCCAACTCTTGCAATTATGAGATTGTATCTCCAGGAATAATTACTAAAATGACTTTAAATTTTTAGCCTCCTTTTTTTTACTGATTTAATCAATCGACCTAAGTATTCAAATCTAGGATATTTTCCGGCTAATGTATCTCATATATAATACAGTCATGTAAGGTGAGTCCATACATCGTCACCACCTGTCATATACAGCTCAGGATAAATTTTACAACATTACAGATATGGGTTAAGGAGCAGGCTTACTGAGAGAAAACTTAAAAGCAAGAGTTTTAGATCAAGGGAGATTTAATTATTTATGAAAGGAATGAGCATACAAATATGTGTTTATAACACTAATTAGTACTGGGCCATTAAGTATAGGTGCACTTATGCTAAGAATGTAATTTTTAATAGTCATTATTTTATCCCAGTTTGAAAATTTTAAAATTGTAGATAGATGATGAAAAGACAGGATCCATTTGAAAAGCTGGAAAAAGTAGCTACACTTTATTAATATCAGCAATGAAATGGTTTTTCTTTCTCTCCTTTTAACAGATTTCACATGCTCACAACTACCACAATTCAAAAAACAACGCCTACTGTATGAAAAAGTCCCTGGTAGAGTCGATGGACAAACTCGCCTAAGGTTTTTTTGAAAAAGAAAAGAATAGTGCTACATGCAACATTCCATTGCTTTTGTTGATAACCCAGTCACAGAATGTTTTAGATTTAGTCAGACATTAAACAAAATGCAATTGTTCTTAGATGTTTTCCGTTTTCTATATTAAGTTTTCCTAATATATATTCTGCCCTCTAGTTTGCATCTTTGCAAGTCAAATATTCTAGTTAGCATAGTAATTGTCTTAAGATCCAAATATCTCTAGATTAGCCTTTGTTAGGGCGGCAAAAGTGTCAGTTCAGCCTCCAAGATCCTCTCCCAAACACCCCATCACACGGAATTGTCTGGAACAGCCCCAACTTCCCAGATTGGCTCTTGCAATAGAAACTTCTATTCTTTCTCAGAGTGTTTCATTTCCCTGTGAGGTTTTCCATGTTCTAAAGGGAGTTACTTGCATTTAGATTCATTGCTGGTGGTAGTGATGCTGACCTTTGAGGTCTTGTGAGAGGCCTCGCTCTAAGTTCCTAGGTCCAGCTCAAACTTTGTAGGCCTCACCAGAACACCACCTATCTCTTCCAGTTGTGATGGACATGGTACTCCTTCCCTTCCCACTGAGACTTGGAGTGCACCTGGGATCAACACCAGGGTGTCCCACCTCTTGCCTCTCATTGGAGTCTGGGTATTTTCCTCGAATATTAAGCCCCACCCTAAAATGAGGGATCCAACAAATAGAGTAGCCTAAGTTAAATGGAGTGGGGGAGTGCAATCTATAGTGATCCAAAATGAGGACTGAAAAAAAAGTTTTTCTGTCTTTTGCTTTATTATTATTTTTACCATACAAGAGTTATTAATTCAATACTTAATTTAAATTCCTTATTTATTTAAATTATTTAAATTTAATTTGATATAGGCAAGTATACACATCTTTTTTGATTTCTGGGTTTTAGGGAGACCTCTTTACCCTAAAGTTGTATAATTATTATCCTAACTTTTCTCCTAATGCTCCTGTATTATCTTTCTTTAACCCATGTGGGGTTTTTTCACATAGTGTAATTCAGGTTCAATTGTATTATCTTCCAAATGGATAGCCAATAATGGCAGCACCATTTACTAATTAAACCATACTTTCCCACTGAATAGAAAAAACAGTTGTCTATTTCTGAACAATTATGATCCATTCACCTATCCGCCTATTCCTACCCACAATAATATTATTTATTTTGGGCTTCCTTTTTTCCTACTTTTTAAAAAGCATATTGTTTCGATTCAGCAGTTCAAAGTAAAAATTTTTTTACTCATTTAAAAAAAATTTTATTGATTGATTTTTGAGAGATTGAGAGGGAGAGGGAGGGAGGGAGAGAGAAAGAGAAGAGAGAGAGACATTAATTTGCTCTTCTACTTATTTATGCATTCGTTGGTTGATTTTTGTATGTGCCCCAACGGGATCAAACCCACAACTTTGGCTTATCGGGACAACACTCTAACCAACTGAGCTACCTGGCCAGGGCCTTAAAGTAAATTTTAATAACTAGCAAAGTAAGCTTCACCCTCCCTTCTTTTATAAACACACACACACACACGCGCGCGCGCGCGTGCGCGCGCGGTTTTAAAAACTTCTTGGACACTTGATTTTTCCGTATGAACATTTTGATATTTCAACCAGTTTTCCCCAAAAGAAATAAGAATGCCACTAAATTTATATGAAATTTAGATTTAGTGATACTACATTTTAATACAATTATGTTAATATTCTGTAATTTATGTAGATCTTGTATACAATAAAACCTTTTCTTTATGACTTGCAACTTTTGTTAAATTCTCAAGTACTTTTTATCATTTTGTCATTAAAGTAGAAATGGGATATAGTTTCCATTTCCATTAGTTATTGCCAGTGTAGAAAATGCTTACTTTTCTATATATACTTTGTATCCAGAAAGTCTCCCAAATTTTATTACAAGTTCGAGTATTTCTTCTACTAGATTTTGATGAGTTTTCAAGGTGTACAATTATATAATCCATAAATACAGATAGTACTCCTAAAATCTTTATTCCACTTTATTATTTTGTCTTACTGCATTAGTTCATAATTCCAAGCAATGCTGAATAGTGGTGATAAAAGGTATTCTCTTTCGTTCCTAAAATGCTGGACGCTTCCATGTTGCGCCACATAGTAGAAAATTTGCTGTTAGTTTTGACAAACTGTCCTTTTCATCTTTAATTTCTTTCTCTTCCTGTTTCACTAATCCACTTAGTTTTTATTCAGACTACCGAATTTTATCAAATGACTTGTTGGCATAGATTCTCTTCTTTAAACCACTCATGGAATGAACTACACTGATAGATTCCCTTATATCGAACTAGCTTTGTTAGATTGTAATCTTCTCTTGATATACTACTAAATTCGGTGTGCTTATATTTCTATTTGTGAGATGAGTTTTCTTGTACTATCTTACCAAGATTTTTCTGAAGGAAAAAACAAAATAAAGAGAAGGTTTTTTTGTGGGTTTGTTGTTGATTTTTTACATACAAAGAGCTATACATAATTAATGTGTACAACTTGATGAGTTTGGAGATAAGTGAAACCACTATCACAATCTAGCTGTCACCTCCAAAAGGTTCCTCCTGCCCTCTTATTTATGATTTTTGTGATAAGAACAGTTAACATTAAATCTACATTCTTAGCAAATTTTTAAGTATGCAATAGAGTATTGTTAATGATAGGCACTATGCTGTGGGCAGATCTCTAGGACTTACTCATTTTGTAAAACAAAATTTGTTTGTTAATGGATATTTTAAAAAAATGCTTATTGTTAAGATGGAGAATGGAACATGTTTAAATGGTGATAGAAAAGATCCAGGAGAAGCTGAAGATAAAGGAGAAAAAGGATAATTGATCATGTGACACCTCAGAGAAGGGGAATCAGATCCAGAGAACAGATACAAGGGTTAGAAAGGAATAACTAAATTATGATCAAACGAAAGGAACTCGGGTTGCCTAGACTTGGAAGTTTAATGGCCAGAACTTAAGGGAGTTCCCGTCTAATGGCTTCTGTTTTCTCTACTGTAACACTACTTATGCTAAAAATATTTTCATTTATTTAGTTATGGTTTTATAAACAGTTATTTCAAGAGCAAATGTTGTCAGTAATTCAGAAATTCCTGTATTTATACATATACCTGTTTTTTACAAAATTCTATACGTACTTATAAACAAAAATTTTACCTCCCACTTCCAGCACTCAGTCTCACAAGCAAACAGAAATCCATGTAACCTTACAACAAAATCAGACACAAAAATGTTGCTGTCATGGAAAATGATGAATTAAGCAGAAATTTTATTTCCAAGCTTTTCAAAGATTATTACAAGCACAAATACAGTATCCTTTTTAAAGTGTCTCAAATTAAATCAAAGGCACATCATCCAAGTAAAATACTTATGACACTAAAAATCCATTTAGCTTGTAAGATTTTCACACTGCTTTGTTTTCAATCATTTGCAATGCTCTGTAAGCCACATTTTAAACATTTGTGAAATACATTAAATAATGCAGTATTTTTTAAAGTACAACCACAACTATAAAATAGAGGAACTTAAGACAAAGATTAGGTCTGCTGCACACAATGGGGAGATCTGACACACAACACATTAATCTTTCCAAACAAGTTTGCTAAGAAACAGCTTCCATATTTAGTGTTAAAATTTAAACAACCTCACTTACAAAAATCAAGACATCATCTGATTAATAAAGTCTATTCCCCCCTCCCAATTTCACATTGGCTTGCCTGCATTTAGAAACTAAATTCATGAGAAAAGGACAAGTTTTGTTATGGTGTAAAAATTTTAGGAACAACAAATTACAAATATTCAATTTTTTAATAAACAAAAATGTTTTCCTTCCCAAAATGTAAACATTCAGTAAATAAAACACACATAATATTTCAGGTATAGAAACACTAGTAATTCACTTATGAAAGAGGTGCACTTTTGTATATTGGGCAGTACGATTTTTGTTTATCCTAAGTATAAAGCACTTCCCCAACAAACCGGGCCATCATTATTATTTAAAAGTCTACTCCTTCACCCAGTTTCCTTAGTTGAGTTGCAACTGCCAATTTATGTAGAATTCTGGCTATAAGACCAGCCCACAGGAAAGGTCTGAAATACCTAAAAGTCATTTGGTTAGAGAAAAATGTTTTCTTGAGACTTGGAGGCAGTCATTCATCACTTTGCGCCTGAAGGCATTCCTTAGCGAACTTCTTTCCTACCGGAAAGAGAATTTGGATCATTTTCACCTTAGTAAGATTTATACATGAAATTGACAGTCAGCATTTCATAGGGCACTTTAGTATTCTCAAAGCAGGGAGTAACAAGTTATTTTAAAAACCCATCCAAACCACACCACTGAAGGAGTAGCACCCATGAACATGCTCTGTGAAAAGAAACACGCCATGCCAGCGTAAAACTGTTACTATAACACCACAAATGTCGGCATCTTTCATTAAAAGGTATGACAGTACCTGATAGTACAATTACTTCTTTTTAATGTGAGTAATTTCCTTTACATGTATGTGAAACAGGACCTAAAATGATTACTTACTGTATGAAAACCCCTTAGAACACATAATTTGAAATATAGAGTGTCACCAAAAAATGTCTATACACACTTTGAATAATTATAAAGGCAGTGTTTATTAAAATATTTTATTTTCAAAATTCAGCTATCAGCTGTTAAAGTGTGTATACATTTTTTGGGGGACACCCTGTATGTTGGCCTCAAAAGACTCTAATAATCTACTCCCTGATCTCCCAAAAAAGTGAAACTGTGAATGAGACCCCATACAATACATTAGAACCCATCAAATTTCTAACAAGACACCAGAGATGTTTTCATTTCAAGAATCGGCTTTTAAAGCTCTTTTAACCTGACTCACACTTCTCCCCAGTAACTACATTAAGGCTTCCTCCATTAAAACACAGAGATATATTCGGAAAGCCTTTAGGAAAGAAATCGCAGCTGGCAGGAGGAACCAGTCTCCTCCTCTGGGGAGTCCTTAGTCCCAAGAGTAGCAAGTCAGCTGATAGCACCAAGCAGCAAGTGACAGCTCTGGGGCGGTGTTAGAACAGAGAGAATAGGATTAAGGTCAAGAATTACCACCAGCTAACCCAGTTAAAGAGCTCAAGTACATAAGCATATTAACAGCTCCTGAGTTAGTGTCAAAGAGGGTTGAGACTCTCTTAATTAGGTGCAATCAATCCACAGGCGGGATAAATGCAGACTAAAGTCACCCTTCAGGGAGAGTTGTGCGTTTTGCTGCTTTTCATTTTCATTCAAAACTCAGCTGCCCAAATCCTTTGGGAAGCCCTGTGATAGCGCCATGGCCCCAAGCTGGCCTGGTGCGTCATAACTCACCAGTCTTCAGAGCAGAGCACAGGATCTGGGCTCCCTGAAGGGGTTGCTTCCTGCGGGAACACCGACCAGCAGGGCATCCTTGCAGGCGTTCTGCATGCAGTACTGCTGGAGCTCTGCAGCCGCCTGAGAGACCTGAAACCAAAGGGCTCAGCTTGATTCGCTGCTCACAGCCAGACCCGCCCCACAGCCCTTTGATATTCTGGAAAATGCTCACACAGCCTGATCACACTGCTTGTGACGGCCAAAAAGTCTCTTTTTTTGCTCAAAGTTCTAATAACCGAACTCCAAAGAGGAAAGGTTACAATTTCTATGAACTCTGAGTCAGGATATTTTTGGTCAATTGCTTATTCAACAAAAGCAAGAAAAGGGAGTGTCTCTGATCAACTCAGAATCCTAGTTCTAGGACTAAGTTGGTAAAGAAATAGCTCATTCTAGTGTTCCCTTTTACAAATTTTAAATTTTCATTTATAAAGTGTGCATTGATACATCTATGTTTGCCAGGCAAACAAACTGTTTTAATGTATACAAGGCTGGAGAGTTATCCAGTGTGCTCAAAACAAGTGACAGAGCCCAGCCAGCATGACTCAGTGGTTGAGCGATGACCCATGAACCAGGAGGTCGGGGTTCGATTCCCAGTCAGGGCACATGCCTGGGTTATGGGGTTGATCCCCAGTGGGGGGTGTGCAAGAGGCAGCTGGTCAATGACTCCCTCTCATCATTGATGTTTCTATCTCTCTATCCCTCTCCCTTCCTCTCTCTGAAATCAATAAAAACATATTTTAAAAAAATAAACAAGTGACAGAGTTCTTCCACCTTGCTAGAGGCAGGATAGCTTGCTTACTAGTTAACAGAGCAGCCTCTGGAACCACATTGCCTGAGCTCAAATTAGCTGTGTCACTACCTGTATGAACGTGGGCAAGTCTCTGGACTTCTCAGTTCCTGTTTTCCTCCATTTGATGCATATTTATACTCGGAAGCTTTCCTCATCCCCCCCCTTTTATTTTTTGCATTGAAAGGTGTTTTGTATAAAAACTCACCTATATTGTACAAAAATGATTCCAATTGCTGTTCGAATATTACTACCACTTTCTGTTAATTTTCCAAGCTTCCAAATAACTGGAAAATAAATTCCTTATGTTACAGTTATCTAGTTTCTAGGATGCTTTTAGGAATTTTGGTTTCATTAATATAATAACCATCTGTGTTATATAATATAAACACATAATGTAATGTCGTCAGAGTAATATTTAAGCTTACTTTTCCCTCAACAGAAGTTCTGTCATTTTCACATTAATTGTAATTGGAGTTAATGGTTACATTAGAACAGTCATTATTTCAAAAGAAATTTGGAACCAATTATGCTCATGCTTATTTTATCGCTGCATCAGAGGGAACCCCACACATGAGTGCAAGAAATGGGATTAACTGACCCCTGGCTTAAGCAACATGGTTAAAAATTAAGGTGAGCCCTGGCCGGGTGACTCAGTTGGTTGGAGGGTCGTCCCATACACCAAGAGGTGATGGGTTCAATTCCCGGTCAGGGCACATACCCAAGTTGCGGGTTCAATCCCCCCCGGTCAGGGTGCAACCAATCAGTGTTTCTCTCTCACGTCAATGTTTTTCTCTCTCCCTCTTTTCCTCCCTTCCTCTCTCTAAAAATCAATTTTTTAAAAAGTGAAGGTAAGAGGACATGCAGAGAAAATAAAAGTGGTCAGCATTTCTCTAGCACTTTGCTGGGAGAATTCAAGACCAAACACTTGGAAGCTGGAACCTGCTACTGGAGGTGGGATAATGCCCCCCCAGATTATATGATTTTTGCCTGGTTTGAGCCCATTCTCACCCAGCAACTTCTGAGAGGCTTCTCCAAAGCAAAGAAGGGGCCTTTGGGAGGATATGGAGCATTCCAATCACTGTGAAGGGATGCTCAAAAATTGGTGTCCTGGTTTATTGACCAGTTAGCAAGTCTGTGAATGAGAAGACGTCTCTGGGTGTGCTGAGAACATCCATCCTGAGCCCTGAAAGGAGGAGACCAGACCTTGGATTGTTGTGACTCCCTAAAGTGCTGCCTGTGGGAAGCATGGCCAACCACCCCAGGTCATGCTACCATGAGGACACCCCTCCACTACGTTTAATGCCCCTGTGACCTTGAACAATTCGCTCAAATTCTTGAGGTGTCAGTTTCATCGCCCATCCTTACTTTCTAAATGTAGCTAAGAATATGTTCCCTAGCTTCTTCACAGGGCAGGCAGGCGCCTGGCTCAGTTTTCCTTTCCACCTCAGGTCTCCACAACAACTTGAACACTTGCTGCAACCACAGCTTCAGTTCCCTGACCTCCTCTCCTCAAACCACCTTCCCCTCAAGGCCAACAGTTACAGCCAAGACCTGTTAACTGCTCCACATCTGAAATTTCACACTCCAACATCCTGCTTTCTGATCACAATCTCTCCCACGCAGCCAGGGCGCTGCTCCCTAGTCTCCCTGCATCCGTTCTTTGATCTCAGGGAGGACCCCTCCTCCCCTTTCCTCCAGCCCATCCCCAGGAGGCTGGCTCGGTTCCTGCTCTAACCCGCCCAGGCTCTGCCTCTTTCTGGGCAGGCCCTCAACCTCCTCGCCCTCCACCCCCACTTCCATCGCGCTGTCAGACCTCCCCTGCTAACCCACTACCTGGGTCAACTACCACTCACTGTGGGCACTCAGAGTCCTGGGTGGCCCAATTCTGCCGGAGGTGGGGAAAAAAATCACAAATAGGGGAGCCAGTCTCCACTCTCGCAGCAGCTGGGTCTTTGGAGTCCAAGGTGTGTAGGGAAGCGCCTGCGAGGGGATCCCCCCATCCCCCACAGCACTCTCTCCACCCTCGCTCCGCTGATCCCATTAGCTCCCTTTCCTCTGCCCCAAAGAAAACCTGGCCTATTTCACGAAGAGAACTGTCACCACAAGTCCTTAAGTCCCCATCCGGAAACACCCACCTTCAGACATATCCTTACCCCCTTTCTTCCAATCCCATGCCCGCCAAAGACAGACCCCCGTCTCTTCTCCCTCCAAATCTCCTCCACTTGTTCCTTCTGCTCAACCTCAAAACATGGCTTTTGTTTCCTTTTTTTTTTTAAAGTCGTTTCCTGTTGGAAACAAGAATTCTTTTTTTAGTCTGCCTACCTTGTTCCAATCTAGAGTCTGCTTCTACTACGGAAGCCTCCTGGGCATTCCAGGGCGCGCTCTTTACTTTGTTTCATACTCTTCCCATCACTTACTGTCTGAAGTGATTTTCCTTAGTGCTAATGTTTCCTGTTTACCGCCCCGCAGGGTCGCCGCGTCCTCAGCACCGAGGACAGTGCGGGCCGCAGCGAGAAGCGGGACGGCAGCGCTCAGGGTCACACACACTCCCCGGACGCTGCTCTTCTGGGCTGGCCGCTGACCGCCACTGCGCACAGGTGCGTTTTAACCGGCTCAGCAAACCCTGGGCATGTCGCCTAAGCCCCAAATTTCGCTTCAGTCGCCGTGCTTTCTCTCGGTCCTCTTCTCAGCCACCTCTCCTGGCGGCGCTGCGCTCCCCCGCCCCGGTCTCCTCACAAACTCCTTTCCCGCCCCTCTGCCAGCCTGGTCCCTGGGCTCCAGCCCACAAGGCTGAACACCTTCTGGACATCTCCTCAAGGTCCGCGTATCCCCGACTGCGCTGTCTCCGCCCCACCCCGAGCTGCAGCAAATGGCCGCGCCGTCCCTCCGGTCGCCCCCGGGAAGCCTCTCCCCTCCCCCTCAACCCGTCACCGAGGCCCATCCATTCATTCGGTGGCCTCCGCACCTCAGGCCTCGGGTCTCCGGCCTCTCCGGCCTCGCGCACCAGCCGAGTCCAGGCCGCGGGGGCGTCGCCGGCATCGCCGGTCCACTCGCGTCATCCGGCTCCCCTGCGTCCCCCGAGTCCCCGTCCCCGCCACCCCAGTGGAAACGCCGCGGGGCACTCGGTCCCGGACCAGCCCCGCGGGGACACTAAGCCCGTCTCCCTCCCCTCAGGCCCGCGTCCCCACCGCTCCTGGGCTCCTGGGTCCCGCCCGGCCACGCGGGCTCCCCCTCCTC